ATTTAGATAAAGATAGGGAAGTTTTTATTGCATTTATGGATTTAGAAAAGGCATATGATAGAGTGGATAGAGGAGCAATGTGGCAGATGTTGCAAGTATATGGAATAGGTGGTAAGTTATTAAATGCTGTAAAGAGTTTTTATGAGGATAGTGAGGCTCAGGTTAGGGTGTGTGAGAGAGAGGGAGACTACTTCCCGGTAAAAGTAGGTCTTAGACAGGGATGTGTAATGTCACCATGGTTGTTTAATATATTTATAGATGGGGTTGTAAAGGAAGTAAATGCTAGGGTGTTTGGGAGAGGGTGGGATTAAATTATGGGGAAATCAAATTCAAAATGGGAATTGACACAGTTACTTTTTGCTGATGATACTGTGCTTATGGGAGATTCTAAGAAAAATTGCAAAGGTTAGTGGATGAGTTTGGGAATGTGTGTAAAGGTAGAAAGTTGAAAGTGAACATAGAAAGAGTAAGGTGATGAGGGTGTCAAATGATTTAGATAAAGAAAAATTGGATATCAAATTGGGGAGGAGGAGTATGGAAGAAGTGAATGTTTTCAGATACTTGGAGTTGACGTGTCGGCGGATGGATTTATGAAGGATGAGGTTAATCATAGAATTGATGAGGGAAAAAAGGTGAGTGGTGCGTTGAGGTATATGTGGAGTCAAAAAACGTTATCTATGGAGGCAAAGAAGGGAATGTATGAAAGTATAGTAGTACCAACACTCTTATATGGGTGTGAAGCTTGGGTGGTAAAATGCAGCAGCGAGGAGACGGTTGGAGGCAGCGGAGGATGTCCTGTTTAAGGGCAATGTGTGGTGTAAATATTATGCAGAAAATTCGGAGTGTGGAAATTAGGAGAAGGTGTGGAGTTAATAAAAGTATTAGTCAGAGGGCAGAAGAGGGGTTGTTGAGGTGGTTTGGTCATTTAGAGAGAATGGATCACAGTAGAATGACATGGAAAGCATATAAATCTATAGGGGAAGGAAGGCGGGGTAGGGGTCGTCCTCGAAAGGGTTGGAGAGAGGGGGTAAAGGAGGTTTTGTGGGTAAGGGGCTTGGACTTCCAGCAAGCGTGCGTGAGCGTGTTAGATAGGAGTGAATGGAGACGAATGGTACTTGGGACCTGACGATCTGTTTGGAGTGTGAGCAGGGTAATATTTAGTGAAGGGATTCAGGGAAACCGGTTATTTTCATATAGTCGGACTTGAGTCCTGGAAATGGGAAGTACAATGCCTGCACTTTAAAGGAGGGGTTTGGGATATTGGCAGTTTGGAGGGATATGTTGTGTATCTTTATATGTTTATGCTTCTAGACTGTTGTATTCTGAGCACCTCTGCAAAAACAGTGATAATGTGCGAGTGTGGTGAAAGTGTTGAATGATGATGAAAGTATTTTCTTTTTGGGGATTTTCTTTCTTTTTTGGGTCACCCTGCCTCGTGGGAGACGGCCCGACTTGTTGAAAAAAAAAAAAAAAAAAAAAAAAAAAAAAAAAAAAATTATATATATATATATATATATATATATATATATATATATATATATATATATTATATATATATATATATATATATATATATATATATATATATATATATATATATATATATATATATATATATATTATATATATATATATATATATATATATATATATATATATATATATATATATATATATATATATATATACCATCTAAGGATAAAGGATATGATATAAGGCTGAAGAAGCCCACAGAAATGCATCAAAAATCTTTGCCTTAACTGCCTTCTGAAGTATACAAAGAGAAAAACTAGCAAACAAGTACTATACTTAAGAATATAAGTATGTCATATAAAGCAAAAACATGAGAGTCAATTAGATAATAGATCTAATTTTTAACTGTCATCATATACAGTACATGAAACCTATTCTTAAACACAGGATAGTTGAAATAAGTAATCAATAAACAAACAATGAGCCTATTAGATAAAGCAATTTTTTTTTTTATACAATAATGAAACTTTTTATAGGATTTTATACACTGATTCTACAAAAGTGCCTTTATTCAGCAGCCAAAAATTTGTTGATTTAAAAGAGATGCCCTACTTAAATTTCTGTGTCTGATTCACTGCTTTGAGGAATGCAGACAGTCAATTCCTAGAAGAAACTAAGATTTATTTATAATGAGTGAAGAGTGAAAAGTTAAAGAATCTGAGGTAGACTTGGTATTATAGAGATAAAGTTATTTTAGAGATTAAGTATTAAAGGGTACAGCCAGGATGGCTGTGGAAAGAAAATATCAGAGACAATCTCTGTAAAGAATAAAAGGCTACAACACCATGGTTAAAACAATCCACTGAATATTCACACTCAAGAGAGAAACTTTATGACAATGCATCGTTGACCTGCCAAGTCATAACATTTTCAAGTTGTGGTGTGACAAAGGTCCAGGACAAATCAAAATGTTATTATGTACTGTATGCAAAGAGATATTTAAGAGATATGCAAAACAATTATGTACCTTTGGAGCATGTTCCTCAGGCAAGTCCTTAACTCCTGAGAGAATCTGTGCAATGCTCTGCCACGCATCCCTGATCTTGTTTTTATCAGTTACTCTGTGGGCAAGCATTCGGAGGGTGGCTGCAGCACTGACGTACCCCTCTTTTTCTAACTGCAGTGTTGCTAATTTTCGGAATGCATTATCAATTTTCTCTTCATCACTGTAAATGTAAATTTATATAAATTCCTGTGAAAGAAAAGCTGATACACTAACTGAAACAGTTGTGCTTAATTCTATGCCATATTAAGCACAACTACATGTTATTTTTATACATATAATTTGTACAAAGGCAAGAGGAGCTTATGAAGTTTTGGCCTGACTTTGACTATTTACAAAGTCACACACAAGTGTGACTTTGTAAATGGGCCAAGGCAGACCAAAACATCGTTGTAAGCTCCTCTTCCCTATGTGCGGGCTATCTGTGTATTGTTCCAGTCATAGTATTGGCCCTTTTTGTTCTTTACATATAATTTTTACATGCTTTATTAAGAGTAACTTCTATGGTGGTTATGCATACTTTAAGAGGGCCCAATATATGTCGAATAAGGTGGTCATAAAAGATTCTTTATTGGGATTTCCAAAAAGCCAATCTTAGATTCACAAAATTCGCATTCACCTGAAAAGTTATATGATTGAGGTGTGCCTCTGGATGAGAAATTAAAGTTTACCTTATAACTGTTAGCTTCCACACCAGGGTCATATGGCTGAGTAAAACATCTCAGATGAAAATTCATAGCTGACAATAGGCTGCATCTTAACAGTCTAAACATTCAGTAATCTGTTGCTACTTAACTAATCTCATGATCCATTAAAATGATGCTCTTCTCCAACATTCTACAAGCACAGGACACATTTTCACACCCTCGAAATTCCATATGCTCAAACATTTTATTCAAACTTTGAAATACATTTTTGGGAGCAAGGGGCTAGTAACCCCTTCTCCTGTATATATATTACTAAGTGTAAAAGGAGAAACTTTCATTTTTCCTTTTGGGCCACCCCGCCTCGGTGGGATACGGCCTGTGTGTTGAAAGAATTACATTTTTACTTGAATTATTCTTTTTACTGAGGTCACATGTAATCATTCCAATCTATGACCCTTTTTGTTAATCTAAGAGAATAACAAATTGCTGTTACTGCTAGGGAACCTCATTTATGTCTCAGAAATAAAATTAGGCTAAGTTAGTATAAGTCAAAATGCCTCCTAGGGGAAAAAAACGTCACATAACAGAATTAAAAGACTTTTGTCTGATCACAGTACAGTGGACCCCCGGTTAACGATATTTTTTCACTCCAGAAGTATGTTCCGGTGCCAGTACTGACCGAATTTGTTCCCATAAGGAATATTGTGAAGTGGATTAGTCCACTTCAGACCCCCAAACATACACGTACAAACGCACTTACATAAATACACTTACATAATTGGTCGCATTCGGAGGTGATCGTTATGCGGGGGTCCACTGTATTGTATTCTATATTTTATTTTTTATTTTAATCAGGAGGAACCCTTAATCTCAGCCTAGAGAGTTCATACAGTTTACCTGGAGTTTAACTGGAGAGAGTTCCGGGGGTCAACGCCCCCACAGTGCCTGGGGAATGAGAGCCAATCAGATCTGATTCAAGGAAGGGGGGATAAGTCCACTTCCTTGGATCAAGAGACTCCCTCCAACCACCTTTATGGCACCTTTGAGAGGTCTAACCCATAGTTCATCACCTTGTTCACAGAGTCCAAGAATTTTCAAAAAACAATTTTTGTTATTTTTGCTAATAAAATGTTAGAGAATCTTTTTCTGAAGGTAATAAAACAAAAAGAACAAAATTTGATGAAAAGCTGATGAAATTACATCACAAGTTTTACTGCATCAGTGATATTTACGCATCGGCGATTTTGCCATCTTTGACTCCTATTTTAGGTCAATTACATTATTCCAGTAGACCAAATTCTTAGCTATTTTGCTAGTATTGCTTCTATTTTATTGATCGAGCACAAGAAACTGCCCAATTAACTATTTCAACTACCCAATGAAGTGAGTGGAAATTGGTAATTTGGCCAATTTCACATAAAGTTCAAAATATTCCAGTTTCAAAATAGGGTCCAGAATAAATAGTGCAGGCTATGTATGATAATTCTATGTAACTGTATTTGTGTATACCTGAATAAACTTACTTACTTACTAGGCATTCCTGGCACTAAAATAATATTTCCTCTGTTTATTAGTTATGTTTCCAGGCTGTACAGATAAATTCCGTTTTGATTTTTTATTCACATAAAGAATTTTTATTCACACCAAAAAAGATGATTTACTGTTATGCAATATTGTAATAACTGCATAAATAACATCAGCGCATTTGTGAACATATATTAGACCACAAACTGACATGTATTGGAAGTGTGACATCATTTGTTTACTCTTGAACATCAGCAAAAATAATAAATTTCCGGTACTCTGAGCTCAATTTCAAGCTATTTTCAGTACTAAAAAACCAATCAAAGTCATTTTTATTTCTGTAATATATCTTCCATTCCATCAAATGAAACCAAAAAGCCATGAACACAACCATAAAAATCATACAAAAATACACCGCAAATTCACTGTTTTAATCCAAAAATCCAGTTGCAATTTTTTTTTCTCATGCACTGCGTGCTGCAGGATTTGTTTTATGTGGTGCACATTTATCACATATATTATCTCATATCTAGGCCCAAATTTACCACTCACAGCTTATCTGAGTGAGCTGAGCTCACGACGTAGAAATACGGCTTGGACCCTGTGGACAAGGCGTAGAACTACAGCTTGGACCCTCAAATTGCCTTGTAATGACTTGTTCATTTCCTAGGCTTGAAAAAACTGCCACTGGAAGTTTAGTAATGCAGAGACCTGTTCACACTTGCCACTGCATTAGCTGGCTATTTGTCTTACAAAATATTTTATATCCATTTTTTACTTAATGTTAAATACGAAGCTTTTCCATCAAAAACCTAATATGATGTGCAAGTACCTGGGTGGAGTTACCATAAGTGAATATTAGCATTGTATTTTGCAAATAAAATTGTGACAAAAAAATACAGTACAGTACAGTGACAAATTATATATTATATATATCTTCGTTCTTTCAACAAACCAGCCATATCTCACCAAGGCAGGGTGGCTCAAAAAAACAAAAATGAAAGTTTCTCATTTTAACTTTAGTAGTGTATACAGGAGAAGGGCCCCCTGATCCCAGCAGTTTAGTTGCTTCTTATGACATGCATGGTTTAAGGAGGAAGAATTCTGTTCCACTTTCCCATGGAGATAAGAGGAAATATACATGAACTAGTAAGAAAATAGAAGAAAACCCAAAGGGATGTGTATATATATATGCTTGTACATGCATGTGTAGTGTGACCTAAGTGTAAGTAGAAGTAGCAAGACATACCTGAAATCTTGCATGTTTATGAGACAGAAAAAGACACCAGCAATCCTACCATCCTATAAAACAATTAAGAGATTTTGAAAGGTTTTTGGGACCTGATGAGCTGTTGGATTAATATTTTGTGAAGGGATTCAGGAAAACCAGTTAGCCAGACTTGAATCCTGGAGGTGGAGGGTACAATGCCTGCATTTTGAAGGAGGAGTTTGGGATATTGGCTGTTTGAAGTTACATCTAAACTGTCATATATAAGTGCCTCTTCAAAGATACTGATATTGTGTGAATGATGGTGAAAGTTTTCCTTTTTTGGGTCACCCTGCCATATCCCACCAAGGCAGTGACCTAAAAAGAAAAACAAGTTTTTTTTTTTTTTAACATTAGTAATTTATACAGGAAAAGGAGTCACTATCCCTTGCTCCTGGCATTTTAGTTGCCTCTTACAACATGCATGGCTTATGGAGGAAGGTATACATGTACATAAAATGGTAACTGAACTCACTTTTTAATGATGTCAATAATTCTTGTATATATAGTAATACTCTCCTCTCTGGTAGTGATACTTGGCTGTTTTTCACACAGCACTGCAAGACCCTGCCAAGCTACAGGACTCTCGGGATCAACTTGAGTAGCCATCTAAAAAAAAAAAAAAAAAAAAAAAAAAAAAAAAAAAAAAAAAAAGATTTATTCAAAATAATTTTTTTTTGTATTCACTACTGTATTAAAGAATATTGAATAAGATATACTGTACTATGGCACAATAGCTTATTCAGTTAAGTAGCTAATATCTTATTTTGTCAGTAATTTTACATTCAGTGAAATGCAAATACATATGCTCAATAGATTATACAGTATTTGTAGGGAGCCTTACAAAAGGATTCAGCCTATAAGTCATTAACTTTATTTGCAAAATTATTATTAATCACTTATCATTATTATTATTATTACCGGTATTATTATTGCATATTAACTATCAATATACTATGAGTAACATAATACAACTCAATTAAATGTCTTATTCATCACATCTGATCAGACTTCTACAAGCCACCTGTACAGGTAAAATACTGTCTAAAACAAAAATTGTTAGTGATGTGTGTTTCTTCAACTACAACCAGACATGCATACATATTACAATATGATAAGTGAGACATGTGATGAGTGAAATCAGAGTACAAGAATAGAGGAGTACTACCTTGCACTCCTTCAGCTCTAAATTCTTTTGGATACATACTATTTAATCCTTTCAATGAAATTCTTGCACCCTTTCTAGTCATTTCACTTAGGGAAAGGATATCCAGCTTCTTTTTTATTCATAACATTGTCATATCTTTCCTATCATATATATTCAAGCCCTGCACATTTAACCCTTTCAGAGTTTCCGACGTACTAGTACGGCTTACGCGCCAGGGTTTTTGACGTACTAGTACGCATAAATTCTAGCGCCCTTAAATCTAGCAAGAGAAAGCTGGTAGGCCTATATATAACAGAATGGGTCTATGTGGTCATTGAGCGCAGTATAAAAAAAATCTTGCAGCACACAGTGCGTAATGAGAAAAAAAAAACTGACCGTATTTTTGGTTTAAAACAACAACTTTGCACTGTATTTTCGTATGGTATTTATGGTTGTATTCTAGTTTTCCTGGTCTTATTTTATAGAATGGAAGACATATTACAGAAATTGAGACGATTTTGATTGGTTTCACAATGAAAAGTACCTTGAAATTGCGCTCAAAGTAGCAGAAATGTTCGATTTTTGCCGAAGTTCAAAAGTAAACAAATCATGCCACGTGTCCAATACACGTCAACTGGTAAATCTAACATTCTTTCACAAGTGCGCTGATATTATTTATACCATTTCTACACTAATACAGTAGTCTGCATAACAGTAAATCTTCTATTTTTTGTGATAATAAAAATTCAAAGTGGAAAGCAAAAGAAATGTAAGAGGGGCCTGGGGATGTGACTAATGAACAGAGGAAATGTGATTTTAGTGCCAGGAATGTCTTTCTTGTATATTCTGGACCCTATTTGGAAATTGGCATCTTTTGAAATTTGTGTGAAATTGGCAAAATTGCTAAATTCTGACCACTTTATTGGATAGTTGAAATCCATAAATGGGTGGTTTCTTGTACTCATTCAATAGAAAAAATGGAGTTCTAGCAAATTAGTTATGATTTTTGTCGACTAGTACACTGGAATTGGCCGAAAATTGGGCTCAAAGTGGGCAAAATCGCTGATGCGTAAACATTGTCGAGACCGCTAACTTTGCGAGAGCATAATTCCCTAAGTTTTCCATGAAATTTCATACTTTTGGTGTCATTATGATCGGGAAAAGATTCTCTATCTTCTCATAAGAAATTTTTTTTTTTTTTTTTTTTTTTTAATTTGGCGACCCTGAGAGAAAGTCTGGGAGAGGGCCTGTTGACCCTGAGACCAAGTCTGGGAGAGGGCCTGTCGACCCTGAGAACAAGTCTGGGAGAGGGCCTGTCGACCCTAAGAACAAGTCTGGGAGAGGGCCTGTCGACCCTGAGAACAAGTCTGGGAGAGGGCCTGTCGACCCTGAAAGGGTTAAACAGCCCAACTTTAAAATTTCTTTATTAGTCTTTTTTTTTTTTTCCAACTGATATAGATAAAGGGGGTTACTAGCCCCTTGCCCCTGGTATTTTAGTGAGGTCCTACTATATGCAGTGCTTATGGAGAAAGGATTCCAGCCAACTTCTCCATGGAATTTGTAAGGAAACATTACAGTAACTGTAAGACTTGTACAGAAATTGTAAGGAAAACTCAGACAAATGTATACACACACATGCACATTTGCATACAGTATATGTGTGGTGTATACTGAATGCAAGTCTTAGTTTCAAGATTTGCCTGTCAACTAATGTTTATGAATATTCAATCCCCTCTTTATATGCCTGTAGAGTATACTATTTTTATATGCATAAGAGGATATGTAATACATTATAGCCATTTTTCTAATCAATCATCACAGCTTATTTAAATGCAGACCAAAGAAAAATTTGATCACTACCCCATGGTAAACAGTGTAATATATCAGTCCAAAAGTTATGCAAATTTTAGAATGGTTCAGAAAATTAAGTTATTTTACATTACATGAATTTTAACAAAGTTAGGGTGGGTTGAATTGTTAACTTTATTGCAATATAAAAAATTGACATATAACCAATGTTCATAACTATATTTCACTGTTTTCTTTGTGAGAGATGAAAGTGAATCAATTTTTAATTGATTATTTCTAACACAAAAATGCACTACAAGCAAAATCTGAAACTGAGCTCAAAGAGTTACCATGAGTGCTTTCTTAGAATCTTCTAATTTGCCCAGCTCTTGACATGCACGACCAAATAACAACAGAGCATTGTAGTTCTTGCGATCATGTTTAAGAGCAATCTGAAAGGAAAACAACTTGTTACATGTGAAACTCAACATGAACACAGAGGAAGATCAGTCATTCTTAGAAAAATGCAGGCTTCTTTATTTACTTATTTCAGGTATTCAACACCTTCACTTTGATAACCCACAAACAGATTTGATTATCCAACGATTTTCCAATTCAATAGCATTCCCACAACAAAATCTGTTTTTGTTCTGATCATTATTTATAACATCAATATTAACTAGAATAGAGTGATATATTACAGAGATATATTCTCTAAAATACCTGAAACAAAATATGCTGAAGATTTAATCTGGATTATGACTCCTACAATTATAACGACATGACTGTAAACAACTGGCTGAATGGAGAATTCAAACCCATGGCAAGGTAGTCCTAAAACCAGCAGGCCAGCATGCTATCCACTGCATGTGGATAGTGCACCAGCCTTCTAGTTTTATGAATGGCTTGCCTTGGGTTAAAATCCTCCATATTGTCAGTTAATGGTTTCTAGTGTCATAGTAATTCTAGGAAAATAACCCCATGTGAATTGTACCATTAGCCGTATCACTCATCACATATAAATAAAGCTCAATAGATTCCAACTTAAAATCCAGTGGCATTCCTGGTGTTTCAATTTACAATGACTTGCTTGTAAAAAAAAAATAGTACTGTACTAAGGATGATTACATTTAACACACATTTACACATGAAACAACATTCCTTTAAATTACATAATCATTTATTTACCATTTATTTTTGTCAGGTTTAAGGCATATCAATTACATGTGGGTTGCAATGGCTGCATTTCACCTGTACAACACCAGTCAAGAATACTTCAATCTTTAGAGCAGAGATTAAGCACTGTTTTGTACACCATGAGATATATTATATATATCTAGGTCTATATACATCTTATACAGTGATACCTCAAGTTTCGTACAGCTCCCAACTCGAACAAATATGTAAGTGTATTATTGTAAGTGCTTTTGTAAGTGTATTTTTGGGGGTCTGAAACGAACTAATCTAATTTACATTATTCCTTATGGGAACAAATTCGTTCGGTAACGGCACTCGAACAGCCTTCTGCAACAAATTATGGCGGAAACTCGGGGTACCACTGTACAGTAGGGCCCCGCTTTATGGTGTTTCGCTTTACGGCATTCCTCTAATACGATTATTTCAAACTATGACCAAAACTCTCTATACAGCTCCCCCCACCTGACTTTCTAATACGGTCACAGCGTCCCACCCGGTTTGTTTACATTCTCCGTGAGCTCCGTAAGCACTACGTCTCTATATTATTCATGGAAACTCCAAAATTTCAAGTGTTTTTAAAAGTTATTTCATATTTTATATATACTCTGATAATTATACTTATGTATACCTGTATATAAATAAACTTAACACACTGTGCTGGCATGCAGGTACACATTAAAATCAGTAAGAGTGACTTATGTCTCAAGATGCCATATTAGTAATGATGATGATGATAATAATAATAAACAATGAGTCTCATTAAATGTCATATATTATGTTAATAGTATACACATTTTCATTAATACATCTATGATATTTTTTCAAAATTATATAATAAACATGATACATTTACATATAAAGATGATAAATACACCCCACAGTGGAATAAACAAACATAAATATGAGAAGTGGTAGCCAGACGACTTGTATGAGTGACGTCATATCAATAATAATAATAATAATAATAATAATAATAATAATAATCACCGAGTCTCATTAACCCTTTGAGGGTTTTGGTCGTACTAGTACGTCTTACGCGTAGGGGTTTTTGACGTACTAGTACGCATAAATTCTAGCGGCCTCAAATCTAGTGGGAGAAAGCTGGTAGGCCTTCATATGAAAGAATGGGTCTATGTGGTCAGTGTGCACAGTCTAAAAAAAATCCTGCAGCACACAGTGCATAATGAGAAAAAAAAAACTATGACCATTTTTTTGGAATAAATCAGCGACTTTGCAGTGTATTTTCGTATGGTATTTATTGTTGTATTCTAGTTTTCTTGGTCTCATTTTATAGAATGGAAGACATATTACAGAAATTGAGATGATTTTGACTGGTTTTACAATGAAAGGTGCCTTGAAATTGAGCTCAAAGTAGCAGAAATGTTCGATTTTTACCAAACTTCAAAAGTAAACAAATCGTGCCAAGCGTGCAATACATGTCAACTGGTGAGTCTAATATTCTTTCACAAGTGCACCAATAATATTTATACCATTTTTTACACTAATGCAGTAGTCTGCATAACAGTAAATCTTATATTTTTTGTGAGAATAAAAATTCAAAGTGGAAAGCAAAAGAATATAAGAGGGGCCTTGAGACGTGACTAATGACTAGAGGAAATGTCATTTTAGTGCCAGGAATGTCTTTCTTGTTTATTCTGGACCCTATTCGGAAATTGGCATCTTTTGAAATTTGTGTGAAATTGGCAAATTGCTAAATTCTGACCACTGTACGGATAGTGAATTCATAAAGGGGTGGTTTCTTGCACCCATTCGATAGAAAAAAATGGAGTTCTAGCGAAATATTCATGTTTTTTGTCGACTAGTACAGTGAAATTGGCCGAAAATGGGGCTCAAAGTGGGCAAAATCGCCGATGCGTAAACATCGCCGAGACCGTTAACTTTGCGAGAGCATAATTCCGTAAGTTTTCTATCAAATTTCAAACTTTTGGTGTCTTTATGATCGGGAAAAGATTCTCTATCTTTTCATAAGAGAAAATAATTTTTTTTTTTTTAAATTTGGCCGACCCTGAGAACGAGTTTCGGAGAGGGCCTGTCGACCCTCAAAGGGTTAAATGTCACATATTACGTTAATATACACATTTTCATTAATCCACCTATGTTATTTTTTTCAAAATTATTTATTGAACATGATACATAACATATAAAGATGATAAATACACCCCACAGTAGAATAAATAAAAAACTGTATTATGAGAACAGATTATCCAACTTACGAGGTGATATAAAAAAGACCTGGAAACCCCTATCAGCAATTCTAGGAACAAAAACGTTATCACAAAATAGTGAAATTGAATTAACAAAACCAGATGAACCCCAACTCCGACCAACTGAAACAGCAAACAGACTCAATAATTTCTTCTCCACTATAGGAAAAAACCTTGATAATAAAATCCCAAGCTCAGATACCCCACCCAATGACTACCTCACTGGCAACTACCCGAACACACTGTTCCTAGCTCCGACTAACCCTACTGAAGTCTCCCTTATTATCAACACACTAAAAAACAAGACAGATTTAAACACCTTACCACCCTTTATATACAAAAAAGCATCACAAGTACTATCACCAATCATTGCAACACTCTTTAACAAATCCATAGAACCCTCTACCTTCCCTACAGCCTCAAAAAGCAAGGGTCACCCCGATCCATAAAGGGGAACCAAACAGGCTTGAATAACTATAGGCCCAAAATCCAACTTACACCCTCTCTCTAAAATCTTCGAAAAATTAATTCATAAGCGAATCTATTTCCTACCCATCCCCCCACAACATACTCAACCCTTGTCAATTTGGGTTCAGGCCTAATAAAAATACTAATGATGCTATATACACATGCTAGAACACATATCACTGCAATAGAGAAAACAGAAGTCCCCCCTGGGGATCTTCATAGACTTACGTAAAGCTTTTGATACAGTTGACCATGACTTGCTCCATATAAAATTGTCGCACTATGGTATAAGAGGGCACTCCCTCAACTACCTAAAGTCTTACCTCAGCAACAGAAGCCAATATGTGTACACAAACGGGGCAAACTCTTCAGCACAGCCAATTACAGTTGGTGTCCCACAGGGAAGTGTCCTAGGCCCTCTTCTCTTTCTCCTATACATAAATGACCTTCCAAATGCTTTGCAATTACTCAAACCCACACTATTTGCAGATGACACTACATACGTCTTCTCTCACCCGAGCCCAGTCACGCTAGCCAATACAGTAAATACCGAATTACAGAAAATATCTACCTGGATGAGTACTAACAAACTTACTCTAAACATTGACAAAACCTACTTCATTCAGATTGGTAACAGAGCTACAGACGTCCCTCTTAACATAATGATAAACGAATCACCTATCACAAAACTCACAGAGGGAAAATTCTTAGGAATCCACCTTGATAATAGACTCAAATTTCAAATACATATACAACAAATTTCATAAAAAATTTCCAAAACCGTAGGCATACTATCGAAGATACGGTACTATATTCCATAGTCAGCCCTCCTGGCCCTATATCTCTCACTTATTTACCCCTATCTCACCTATGGAATTTGTGCATGGGGCTCAACAACAATAAACCATCTCAGACCATTAATTACCCAACAAAAGGCTGCAGTCAGAATGATAACAAATTCACACTACAGGCAGCACACTCCACCAATATTCAAAACTCTAAACCTACTCACCATTCAAAACATCCATACTTATTACTGCACCTACTACATTCATAGAACACTTAATTCTGATATAAACCCTCCCCTCAAACGTCTCCTTACCAACCTCAACAGAACACATGACCATAACACAAGGCACAGATCACTCTTTGATGTTCCTAGAGTCCATCTCACACTATGCAAAAACTCAATGCACATAAAAGGCCCTAAAATCTGGAATTCATTACCTGTGAATATAAAAGAAACACTGTCTGTTTATAAATTTAAGTCTTCTCAAAAATCACTTACTCACCCACAGCTAAATAAATACTGAATAACTGTATCTCATAAATTGTATCTCGTAAAAGTTTCTCATTATTGTATCTCATAAATGTCTAACCTGTGACCCAATCAAACTATTTTTTACTTACATTACCTAACAGAATACTCCATTCTACTGAATGCTCAGCAACACAGTAAATGACCATATGACCAGTCTTTGTAATACTCATTTGAGCTAAATTGTTATCTGTTTACAATAATGTTTTTACCACTGAATATATCATTGCTTAATCTTAAGTTA